TACCCGTGGTGGGGATTAGTCACTTTTTTTTTTTAATTTTTTTTTTAACGTTTATTTATTTTTGAGACAGAGAGAGACAGAGCATGAAGGGGGGAGGGGCAGAGAGAGAGGGAGACACAGAATCGGAAACAGGCTCCAGGCTCTGAGCCATCAGCCCAGAGCCTGACGCGGGGCTCGAACTCACAGACCGCAAGATCGTGACCTGAGCTGAAGTCGGACGCTTAACCGACTGCACCACCCAGGCGCCCCTAGTCACCTTTAAATTTTGGTGACTGTCCTTCCAGAGGGGCGTGTGTGTGTATCCATATATATATGAAATTTAATCACATACAATTTTATGAGTGCATTATTGTGTGCATATACTATGCATTCATTTTTCTCTCAACGTGTTTTTCACATGTGATATGTATGTATGCATGAGGACATTTTCACATAATTATGTAAGTGGGAATGCAAGGAATGTACTCTATATGTTCTACAGTTTTTTCATTCTTCAGTGGGTCATTAAAGATATTTTCCTGTCATTGAATATTACAGATATATATTATCCTTTTAATGTCTGTGAACTATTATGTCTCTGTAGACATACCTGATTGATTTTGATCAGTCATATAACAGGAGTGGTTCTCAAATGGGCTTTGGCTTTAGGGAGAATTCTGGGCCGGACACCCTATGTAACCTCCTTTTGGGCAGATACCAAGATGGTTGGGAGTCAAATGGCTTTTCTTGGTATACATGGTTTTCTCTGGTGACTCTTGGAATTAGTGCTTCCAACTGGGAAGAGAGCTTCCGTAATAAGGGCTCAAGGAGTCTGGGTCCTTTGTGGAGTATGGGTCTTTGGGTATGAGGTGACAGGATTGGCCAAGGCTTTAAAGTGATAAGAAATTAGGAATGTTGGGATGGAATTAACAGAGAATATAATGCAAACAGTTAAGGCTCTGGTTCAGGTCAACAGACCAAAGCAGAGAGGAGAGGAGAGGCTTATCAGTTGTGGAAAGGAAAGGAAGTTTTTTTAGTTAGATGAGTTGTGGAGATGGACTTCTCACACAGATACATTTGCCCTCATGGGTTAGGCATTTGTGAGGAGACACTTGCTATGTGGAACTTAAAAATAAACATGATACTGGTTTTTTAATCTTATAGCCTGCACAGAATGGAATGCAGGTGGTGAGGAAGTTACAATTTAGTTTTCGTACTTCCTTTTTTTCTTTTTTAAGAAAAAGAAAAGCATTCTGTTTGTACTTTGTGTTCTGCTTCCTTACAGAGCACTCTCAGGCATTTTAGCTACCAGCAAACCATTTTATATAAAGACTTTTTTTGTGTGTTTCTGTTTAAAGAGTGTGTGGTCTATTCTTACTAGAGTTCCTCCCCTCCCCTCCCCTTCTTCCTTCCACTGACGAAAAAAAGTGCCATGGCACTATTACTGCAGAATGACCCAAATTAGCAAGTGATCAGGGTGTAGAAGACAACTCTGAACGCCAAAGCACATGGGTCAGAAAACCTGAGTCCAGTTTTACCCTGCTAAGTGATTTAATCTTTGCAGCAAGGCTTTGTTCAAAGTGTCCATTTGTAGAGGTATAGGAAAATAAAAAGCTTTGGGAGGGGGCTATTAATAATTTATTATAAAGCACATCAAAAATAGAGTTGAACTGATATTACCACACTGCCTCTGCCTTTTTACTCTGCTTTGTTAGGGACTGTACCAAAATGGCTTTTTTTCTCTATTACACATCTACTGATACTCTGTGTTGGGCTTATATATTAATTAAAATTATGAAGTGTGCCTTAAAATAACATGGCATTCATTAACTCAGTAAACTTATTGAATGAAGGTACTTTTGTATATATTGGATATATTAAGGCAAATAGTCCATGATCCCCCACCTTATAGAAATTATTGTTTATAAATAAGAGTGAGATAGAAGTATATGCTAGAAGTATATGGATGATAACAAGCAAAAAGGAAGGGAAGTAGTTCTACTGTGGGATGTAGGGATGCCTGAAAAAAGCTTATTAGAGCAGATGATTTTTGAAAGAGGGTTGTTCACTACCTAGGTGCAGATGGGGTGGGGCATGGGCTAAGGGGATGCTCAGACCAGTCCAGAGCATTGTTACTAGGGCCACAGAGGCCTGGGATATTATGATATTGCAAGTAGCTTCATATGGCTAATGTGAAAGTTGTGTCTGGAGGAGTGAAAGGAGTTGATGCTAGAGAGGTAGTCAGGGGAGGTTGAAGCTACCCAGATTTTTAAATGGTCGGTTAATTAAATCAGGGAAAGACTATATGGCAAGTAGGAGGAAACAAGATTTCAGGCATGGAGGTCAGTTTGCAGCTGCTAAAGTAATCTAGCTGGAAGTGCCATAGGCCCAGACTCTCAAACTAAGTGATTAAAAATGAAAATGAAGAAAATAAAGATGTATAAACAGTAAGGTGTGACCGATTTTGTATGTTAGTAAAGGAGAAGGAAGATTCAGGATGACTTCCATATAATCTGTCTTACAGGATTTTAGAGGATACCTGTGGCCATTTGAGGTGAAGCTGGTTTAAGAAGGAATTATAATGAGTTTGGTGTATGAACACGCTGAATTTGAGTTGATAAGAGATATCCAGAAAGATGTATTCTGTAGGTATTTGGATCTGGAGCTCTGAATGAATTTATAATCAAGGATTGAGAGTCATCAGATTTGAGTTTTTTTTTTTTTTTTTTTTTTTTTTTTTTTTTTTTTTTTGAGACTGTGGTAGTGTAGATGTGATAATCTAGGAATTCATGAAGAAAAGTGTTGAGAACAAAACATGAACACTATAGGGGTGGGCCAGAAAGAAGAGCTGGTAAAGAAGATTGAGAGGGAATGGTCTGGAAGGAATCCACTGAATTTGTTAGATGGAAGACATTGGTGATTATTGCTAATGGGATTTTAGTGGTGTGCCAGGAGTAAAAACCATATTGCAGAATAATTCTGTGTATGATAGTCATTGCCTTTATGCACTGAATTGTAGATTTAAGTACACATATTATTTTTTATTTGTATTTTTTTTTATAAAAAAATTTTATTCAACGTTTGTTTTCTTTTGACAGAGAAAGAGTGAAAGCAGGGGAGGGGCAGAGAGAAGGGGAGACACAGAAACTGAAGCAGGCTGCAGGCTCTGAGCTGTCAGCACGGAGCCCGTATTTTTATTTTTTTAAATGTTTATTTATTTATTTTGAGAAAGCGAGCAGGAGAGGGGCAGAAAGGGAGAGAATCCCAAGCAGGCTCTGAGCTGTCAATGCAGAGCCTTACATGGGGCTTGAAATCACAAACTGTGAGATCATGATCTCAGCCGAAATCAAGAGTCAGATGCTTAACCAACTGAGCCACAGAGGTGTGCCAGTGCATATATTTTTTTAAATCAAAAGATAGCAGATAAGTTTAGAGAATTCATTAACCAACTCTTGTGTACCCACCATACTGTTTTTTTTTTTTAACGGTTTTATTTTTAAATAATTATAGACTCCTAGGAAGTTATGCAAAACCTCCAATATATCCTTCACTTAGCTTCCTCCAGTCACTCTTCTAGTTTAACAGATAGATACCTTATTCATTTTAACAGATGTCCTGAACTGGTTTAAATGCTGATGTTTTGGGATGGGTTATGGAACTGCAGGTAGTGTAAATTTGATTTTGTATCCCCCACATGGTGCAAGCCTGGTGTTATGATTCTCATCGGAGCCTCTCTCCTTCCATTGAAGGCAGGGCAGACGGCAAGCTCCCTTGCCGCTTCTCAGGGCACATGGGTGGAGCATTTCCAGTCCCTTTGCACATACTGAGCACCGCTTTTGAAGATCTCGGCTCAAAATAGGGGTTTTACCTCCAGCTCTTGCCTGAAATAGGTTCAGAATCAGGTCTTCTGTCTCTAGACCAGGATCCCCTGAGACTGCCTTCCTGTCAGCTAGAGCTTACATCTTTGAGTTTCTTCCTTTCTGGAACCTGGGAATTCCACCCCCCCCATCCTTGCCCTTTAGGAGTTCAATTGTATTCTAGTTTTTCTTGTTGATTTGGCATTTCAGTGAGTGTATTTGGGCACATAGATGTATTTGTCTAGTCTACCTTGTCGCTTGAATCAAAAGTCTAATAAACTGCTTTATAATTTATTTCTTAATTTTAAAGTATTGGAGGTCAGGTTATATTACTCTTGTTAAAATATTTATTTTTAATATGGATAATACATAAACATTAAAAAATCAAAATAGAGAAATAAAACACAAAAAATACGAAAAAAGGATAATATATGCATGTGGTGTGAAATTGGAAAGATATAAAGGGTATATGTGTTTCCCTTTGTTCTCTACCTGCCTCACCCAGTTTGCCTTTATAGATAATAACCATTTATCAGTTTTTTATGTATCCTAGAGATAGACTGTGCACTAGTTTTCTTTTTTTTAACAGCAGTTTTAACTTTAAGGTAGTGCTTATAATTTAATTTTGTAATCAGTATTCAGGATTTTTCCGTTTGACAAGTAGTAATTGTATTCTTTGAGAGCTTTTGAGGGAGAACGTTATACTAATTATGTGTTACATGTATGTTTATATATATATATGTGAATGGATTATCTGTGTTTTAATTTTTGTTCACTTGAGAAAACCCTCAAAATGTGACAGAATCTGACAAAATAGTATAAACTGTTGATTCAAGTGTTATAAGGAATATTAAAATAGTGGAACATTAACCCTAATTTTTAGGAGGTAGTGGAAATGATATTTTAAGATACTGGAATCTTATCAAAACACCTTGAGGATATCCTTAAAAATTATCCTAATTACTAATCAGTACATAGTGTTGTTTGCATATGTGCAGATAATTGCCCAGAGAAGTGAAGGAGGCTCTGTCAAAGATGAAGCCCTCTCTTTTAGGTTCCTTAGCCATAGTTTATACCATTGATTGCCTAACTGCAGCTTGGTGAGATTCACTGGCACGGAAACAAAAAATGGAAGCCTATGACCTAATATGTTTTCTTCCTTAGATCAACCTCTCCACTTCTCCTACACCTGCACAGTTAATAAGCCGTTCCCAGGCTTCCAGTTCTACCAGCGGCAGTATTACCCAACAGACTATGTTACTAGGGAGTACCTCCCCTACCCTAACGGCAAGCCAAGCTCAAATGTATCTCCGAGCTCAAATGGTAAGATACGAGCTACCAAATTTTTTCAGTGTTTAAGGACTTGAGAGAGATCAAAATGTTTCTTGATTTGATGCAATAAGAGGCATTTTTAATATTTAAGAAATGTTTAACAAACTTTTTATATGTGTGCTTAGCTCTTATACATATATGTCATGAAAAATTCTACTTTTAATTGGTAGGCCTTCTTGGTGTATCAAATAGTAGCAACTTTGGGAAGCTAACAGATTCTGTAACATGGAGCGATTTTTTAATATAAAGTTTTACTGATTTCAAACCTTTTTCACATTTTTACATCTCTGAAACTGAGATGCATTTGTAACTGATGGCATCTTACAGTATTATAATTGAGAGTTGCAGTGATAAGAAAGCCATTGTGTATCTTTGACATCCTAAATTTGATGAAGTAGTTACAAATGTTAAAAACTTGGTGGTTAACTGTTAAGTTAGAATTTATGTTGTGGGATCTTCTGAAATCTGGATTGGAGTTCCTGGTAGTTTACCAGATGATTTTTAGCTCTGGTTATTCCCATCTCAAAATCTGAGAGGTATTTGTGTTGTGTTTACTTTGATCTTTTGTTAATACAGGAATGTTAATTTGGCTATTCTTTATTTGAGTACCTGCTGATTTCCTAATTTGACTATCGAGCTTCTTTAAGGAATGTAGAAATTGTTGACATTTACTTTATTTGGTGTCTTTACAGGTAGCTAGACAAGAGCTTTGGCCTAATATATATTTATTTATATTCTTTTTTGTTCAGTGAATGAATATATATCTGGATCACCAGTTTTCCACTAAAATGACAGAGTTTTCCATCATATTTCTAAGAGGAAACCATGACATGACCGACCTTTTATTTACAGATTATTCAGTAGACATTACCATATTTCTGATTTTATTTCCCCAGGAGATCTTATTTAATTAATAATATGCTTTAAAATTAGACTAAACTATTTGAAATGACCACTTTGACCTCTTTATAAAACTTGCAGGTTCACATGGTTCAAGCTACATAGAACATTTTCTCTTGAGGTTTCCTGCTTTCAGCTGTTTATTCTGGGAATTACCTTCTTGTGAAAGTTATACTTGGTTAATTCATTTAAATTTAGCATATAAAGAACTGAAATTTAAAAGATCTCTTGACTGGTAATTTTAATTTAAATAGGAAACTGAATAATTTGTAATGCAACTTTGAAATAGAGCATTTACACATTGTTTGAAATAACTCTCATAATTTACTAAATTGGATAATCTCTGAGTGGATTGTATTGCCTTTTTAAACTAATGGCATTCTGTTTCAATATTAAAAAATAACATTTGAAGAGATGGTAATGATAAATAAATCGAGTATGTCTTCCTTTATTTGATGTGAAGCTTTTTTGCAGGTGTTTCATTGTTGTATTTTGACATGTTGTGGCATTTACATTTGGAATGAATATTTCTTTATGAATAGTTTTAAAATCAAGGGCAGCCTAGGTTTGTACTATAGATCCCATGTGGCTGAGTGGAATACTGTAGTGTAGTTTGTAGCATAGTTATCTTTTGTGATGAAGAACACTGAAAAGACTTTTGTGTTTCTTTTCAGGTTTCTCACTGAAATTTGTATTCAAGAGTAGTGACTATGGTTGTCCACTGTAAATAACTTCCATTTTAGGAATCCTGCCATAGTTTTAAGCTGGCAAAAGTTTAAGCATCATAATAGCTTATTTGGGGCAAAATCTGGTATGAGGATTTCATATTACCAAAATACATTTTCTTTTTTGAGCACTGGTTTATTTTTCTACTCATCAGAATCATGAGCTGTTTCAAACTGTTTATGGTTTTTTTATTTTTTTAATTTTTATTTATTTTTTTTTAGTTCTCTATTAGAAACTTTTCTTTGTCACGTAAAACCTTTTGCTTAGGAGACAATCCTAAACTGCATTGTCTTTCTGTCACAAATTTCAGTCTCTCTTGCCTGCTATACATTGTGTGTGGGACACGTTCTTTTGTCTTAGGGTATTTTTTTGGTTTTTCTGTCTGTACAGCTGATTTTCACACCCGCTACCACTGTGGCTGCTGTACAGTCTGACATTCCTGTTGTCTCGTCGTCATCGTCATCTTCCTGTCAGTCTGCAGCTACTCAGGTGAGCTTGTCTGCTTCATAATGTGGTACTTGAGGTCTGGATCTTCAGGTTAAAGATAAGCATACGTTGTGTTTAAGTTACTGATGGTTACAGTGCTCTCTGTCGTACATTTCAGATTGGAATTTAATAAAATACCATGAGAACTTCAAGAAGGTTTTTTGGTTTTATACAAATTATATTAAAAACAAAACAAAACCAATCAAAACAAAACAAACAAATTATATTGCCATTAAACACAGATATTTAGGTTATTTGACCTTAGTGAAAGTTAATGAGGTTTTGCTGTTATATATGTTTGTTTTATTATAAAGCAGATTTATTGCTCTTATTATGTGAGTTGTATTCTTTTGTGTAGATTATTTTGTAAGCAGTTGTGTAATAACGTAAGTCAAGATAGATTTTAAGTTTAAAAGTGAACTGGGGATATTTTTAATTTGAAAAATTGAATAGAGTATTATCTTGTTTGGTACTATGAGAGAAACGAACCTTAATTTTCTCCTCACCATTCACAAAAGTAAACTAGAAGTACAATGTAGACTTAAAGGTAAAAGCCAAAACTACAAAATCTCTACAGGAAAACATAGCATTATCTTCACAACACTAGGGTAGACAAAGCTTTCTTAGGACACAAAAAGTACTAATCATGAAAGAAAATAACAAATTGGAATTTATCAAAATTAAAATCTTCAAAAAACATTGTTACCAAAGTGAAGAGGCAGTCCATAGACTGAGGAAAAATGTTCATAGTACATACATCTGACAAAAGACTTGTATGCAGAATATACAAACTATGCTTACAACTCAATAAGATCGTGAGCAATTCAGTTAAAAATGGGCCAAAGATTTAACACTTTGCAAAGGAAGATATACAAAAGGCCATGATAAGCACATGAAAAAAATGTTCAACATCATTAATCCCTTTAGAAATCAAAATCAAAATCACAGTGAATATCACTACACACTAGAATGGCTGAAATGAAGGAGACTCATAATACCACATGTTGGTGAGAATGTGGAGCAACCACAATTTCATAATATTGCTGGTGAGATTGTAAAATGGTTCAGTGATTTTGGAAAACAGTTTGTCAGTTCTTTATAAAGTTAAACATATACTGGGGCGCCTGGGTGGCTCAGTCAGTTAAGTGTCTGACCTCAGCTCAGGTCATGATCTCACGGTTCATGGGTTCAAGCCCCACATCAGGCTCTGTGCTGACAGCTCAGAGCCTGG